TTAGAATAAGAAAAACGGCACCACTGGGTGACAGAAACATTATTGTGGGTCCTGTAAAGAAGGCGCAACATCAGCAACCGCCTCTACATTATCACAGACTCCTGTTTGACTTAATGAGGAAAAGTACAGAAGCTACACGAGAGCCTTTCAACCACTCAGTAGAAGTAGAAAAGAAAGACATGGCTGGAATTTGTAGTATCAGTACAGAGTTTTCTCCTTACTACTACTACAAATTGTTTCCCGGTACCTCTGTGTCATGGTAGACTGGTATCAAAGGAATTCAACACACCAAATTAAATTAATAGATTGCAATCCAGTTTTCCGTTTTTTGCTTGATCAATGCACATGTGGATGTAATATTTAGCGAAACATAACATACCACTGGGTTTCCATGATACATGTTACAGAGATATTAACAGCATCAATGACATTTTAAGAATATGGAGTTTCATTGTGGTGGGTGGTAAACACAAAGGATATTGACACCCGGTTACTAAAACGGCATTGATCTCGCTGGCCCAGACTGAGTGCTCCCAGGGACATCAGGGACCTCGTTTTGATGCTAGCCAGCTTTCCTAGTAAAACACATCAGTAGATATGTGCGGTTAATCCCCATATAAAATGTAAAAAAAACCCCAAACAATTAATAACCTTCATTTGTTACCCACAACCACAATATCTGTCCAATCTCTCCGATCAGGTTCTTATTTTACCAGTGGTTCTTAACCTGGGTTCGATCGAACCCCAGGGGTTCGGTGAGTCGGTCTCAGGGGTTCGACGGAGCCTCGGCCATGGAGGGTAAGACACACTCAACATGTTAATTAGTTATGACACGCCCGCTTAGCCATCACTGGCTGCAGATGATCACATGACATTGCTCGTCCAATCAGTGCTGTGGGAAATTTTGTTTGCTTAGTAGTCAATCTGTGACAGTCGTGATAGTACGTCGTCTGTTTTTAATAAATGCTTTTTTTTATATCTTAAATTTGTAAAAAATATATACATTTATTTTTCACTCATATGAAGGGTTCGGTGAATGTGCATATGAACTGGTTGGGTTCGGTACCTATAAAAAGGTTAAGAACCACTAGACTATTTTGTCCTAACACTGGAATTTGAAATTCTATGACAGATCTTGGAATGTTATTATTCAACTTAACCCTTTCAGAGACAGCGGTTACTCCAGTGGACAGTTTATCCTGTTATCAGGTTGCAGGGTGCATGAAAGGGTCAGAAGAACTCAATGTCGCTAATGTCTGAAAAGCGTAATTAATTGTGACCAACATTCATGTGCATATCTCTAGTCATGCCCACTTCGACCACTGAAAATATTCGAACAATCGTCCCAATAATTTGGATCTTGAGGACATCAAATCATTCTCAACCAATCGGCACTCACGATAGAGAAAATGCTTAATGACACTTAATGCTTGGAATTTGCCACCAATTATGACCAAAATTAATGTGCACATCTCTACTTATGCCCACTATAACCTCTGCAATTATTCCAATGATCACCACTGATCACCCCAATCTTCACCAAAACTTGTGCCAATTTCAACGACTGCAAATATGAGAATAATCGACCCAATATTTTGTATTTTATGGACATAAATGTGATCCTCTCCAGGGGTGCTCACAACAGCTCAATGTCGCTTAATAAGGAAAACAATGTCCATCTTCTTCTTTTCCTTTCGGCTTTTCCCTTCAGGGGTTGCCACAGCGAATCAGTTGCCTCCATCCAACCCTGTTTTGTGCATCCTCTTCTCTCACACCAGCTACCTTCATGTCCTCTTTCACTACATCCTTAAACCTCCTCTTTGGTCTTCCACTCGGCCTCCTGCCTGGCAGTTCGAGACTCAGCATCCTTCTCCCAATATATTCACTCTCTCTCCTCTGGACATGTCCAAACCATCTCAATCTGGCCTCTCTGACTTTCTCTCCAAATCCTCTAACATGAGTTGTCCCTCTGATGTACTCATTCCTGATCCGATCCAACCTGGTCACTCCCAAAGAGAACCTCAACATCTTTATCTCTGCTACCTCCAGCTCTGCCTCCTGTCTTTTCTTTAGTGGCACTGTCTCCAGTCCAAACAGCATGGCTGGTCTCACCACAGTTGTATACCCCTTTCCTTTCATCTTAGCTAAAACTCTTCTATCGCACATCACACCCGACACTTTTTTCCAGCCGTTCCAGCCTGCCTGTACACGCTCTTTTCCACACTCTCCATTGCTCTGGACAGTTGACCCCAAGTACTTAAAATCTTCCACCTTCTTTATCTCTTCTCCCTTTAATCTCACTGCTGTACTTGGGTCCCTCTCATTCTCACACGTCCTGAGTCTTGTTGCAACTGACCTTCATTCCTCTCTTTTCCAGGGCAAACCTCCACCTCTCTAGTTCCTCCTCCACCTGTTCCCTGCTCTCACAACAGATGACAATGTCATCTGTATGTCAATGTTAAAACACTTCATGTCCATAAAACCCAAAATATTGAAGCGATCATTCTCATAGTTTGAGAGGTTGAAGTGGACATAGGTACAGATGTCCACATCACTTTTGGTAATGATTCATTGCAGTATGACCAGATACCATCCTGAAGATTTGCTGAAAACATAGAAATGCCAAACAAATCAGTCGAATAAATTGAATTTCATGTTTCAAAGACTCATAGGGGAAACAAAATAGTCCACTCTATTTATGTCTCTGTAACTTAGGGGAATTTTTATCATTCAGTTGATAGCCTTGAATAAGTGAAATAAAGAGAACGGAGAGACATCTGAGTAAATAAAACAAATTTCCGCCACCTACTGACATATGTGACATTAGTTCCATGAAAGCAGGATCATGAGATGCCTACCTTGACAACACATTTATTTTCCTAATTAATTCAGGATTCCAAAACTGCTGCTAAATGTGAGCACTCTTTCTACCTCTATCAGAAAGGCTTGATTACTGATGTGTGATTAGTTGCCAGGCAATGAAAATTAGCAGCCACCAGTTAATTTAAGGATGAGGAAGCTTTGCTGATGCTTGAAGGTAGGAAAAGCTGTCATGCACAAGTTCACTGAACTGGTGTTTCAAATGCAATGCACATTAAGTATCCCGATCCCAACAGGAAAGTACACCATTGTGTCGACATACATATATACAGACATGTGGTAAACTACAATGCATATTTTATGAATGTGAAAGTACATTAACCCTTTCGTGCACCCTGTAACCTGATAACATGATTAGCTGTCCACTGTAGTAACTGCTGTCCCTGAAAGGGTTAAATGTTAAATGTCTAAAATATAAGGCATGTTTCAGTATGTTTTAATAATCTCCATGTATCACAGAGTTAAACAAAATAATGATATTTAGGTTGGATTGATTTGACATCAGTGTTCTCCACGCCATTCTTTTTAATAAGGCCATAGCTGGGGAATCTCTTGCTTTTCCAAATCTGTTGGCATCATTGTTAATGCTTGCTCGTTCATGTTTTGCTATGTCGCTACTGTCCCCGTTTTCCTCTACTGTAAGATACCAAGATCTTAATAAATGAAAATCTCAACCGGTGTTGGCTTTATTTACCCTATTTGTCTTTTTTTTTACATCAAGTGTGACTTACACCTGAGGTCTTTGAAAAAAGCTAGACACCCATGACAAAAGAAGGAGTAGAAAATACATAGGTCTGTTTTCAAAGTAAAATAAAGAGAATCTGAAAAATCTTCCAGGGCGTCCATCATCTTTCCTTCAAAGTCTCACATTTGGGTATAGGTTGCAGCTCAACCTGGAGCCCGAACAGGATAAGCCGTTAGAAAAAAAACACAGATGGATAGATTTGTGTATGGTACTTATTCATTTTATATTTCTGATCTGATCTCACACTTCTTTCGTAACTCCTCAAAATTCCAACATTATCAATGAAGAAAGTCCAGCAATTTGTGTTTTTCAAGTCAAAATGCTACCAAAGTAGATATTAATGTCAAAAGTGCTTGCCCTGGACTTGTACACACCACACAATTCATCATTGATATTATTATGCACTTCCTGTGCATCCAAAGAGTAGAGCCCCTTCAGAATACCTGCACAGCAGCAGCAGGTTATGATGCATAAACATGATGTCTGATGTGAAGGGCAACTGAGTCAGTTGAATTTCAAACTGTCCATATTTAGACATATCTGGGTTACATAGCTGACGCACAGTTTTTGAAGTGCATCAAACAGCATGAATCACAACGAATTAACATGCAAAGTCAGTGTCAGTGTCTGAGCAAAAAGGAATATTTGATGCTGAGTGAACATTTAACGAAGTAAAAATATCAACAAATTGATTTCACCGAGCAGTGATTAACAGGCAGAGGTTTCCTCTCATATTATTGCGCAGGATGATGCTGCAGCTCCGCAAAGGCTTCGCGAGCCAACCCACCATGAAACGGCTTCCTTGGATGTTGCATTAATGTTCTCATGGAAATCTGAATCTCAGCGGCAATTTGACAGGGAAGCTGTTGGTTCATGTGTAGTCTTTCTGGCGTTTTACCAACTAGATAAAATAACCTTTATTTTTTTTATTTATTTATAGGAATACGTCGGTTAGCTTTGTTTTATGATGGATACTTTGCCCATAAGGTACAAGATAGTTTTAAAATTGTGTTTTATTTGGCGATTTATAAAACGGCATACAGTACTGTGCCACTCATAATGGGAGCAGTAAAATCGTATTTTCCAATACGTTCACACAGTTATTGTTCGTCATTCGACCTTTAAAATGCCAAAAGATAATTTGTTTCGTTTTTGTCGTCGTTGACGTAATTTCTTCATATTGGAATTTAGAAACTCCGAGTCGATATAAGACATTTTAACGCATCAAACCGGCACAGAAACGGACACTCTATCTAACCAATCAATGATTGGATTACTCCCAAATCCACCAATGGGGGTATCTTAAAGGCGGGCTCGCGATGACCTAACGATTGTTGCTCGGTCTCCAAGAGTCGTTTGCTGTAGTCCCATTGGCGCAGGTGATCCGTCTCGGGATGAGAGAGGAGAGTGGCGGCGAGGGGAAGAGAGGGGAACGCTCTGATGGGGAAGTGTCCAGGGCTAGGTTTGAATAAAAATAAGGATAGCAGCCACCTTCAACATCCACTGTAACGCTCGGCGATGAGAGCTTCACCGAAAGGGGCACTTTGAGATATGATGAGGTTTATTTCCGGTCGGGAATAGTACTATGATTTGGTATGTGGCCACTTTGATAGCAAGTGTATTCAGCACCCGAGGAACAGCCGCTCAAGGTGAGTCGAAGCACATTCGATTTTAAGTACCGGCCACTTCTGCCCAAAGTTTAACCCTTGAATTGCTTTTAGGTTAGGACATGGATTTATTTGACAATTTCTGGAATAGTCTTTGTGTTCAAAATGACGTACTTTACAAAGCAAAGTTGGTTCATTGCTGTACCTGTGTTGAGTAGACCCATCCACACGAGCGATGCATTGTAACAGACGCTCTCCAAGCTGTGTGCTGCAAAAATGCTTTTTGCTGACTGCAATACACAAGTGAGCTGCGCTAATGGCTGCATGATGGGGTTGGTGGGGTTGAGGTGGAGCATTTCGCATATTGGGGGCTTTGAGAATTAGCTCTGCAAAGTGGAAGGTGAGCCAGCGGTTGCCGCACGCACCTCGGCTTCCCAGACTGTCAGCGTTCGGGGTAATGCGCTGGAATATGATTGCATGGTGGGTTGCCCCAAGTCTTACCACTTTTGCCCGGCAGAGAGAGCACTACCTGTGTGAGTGTGGACGTACGAATGTGGGCTTGACGTAATAGAACCCC